GGAGCCACTGAGGTGTGCAGGGACCACACAGAGAATGCCAGAAGCTCCAAGACAAGATATATTGGGCAGCTCCTGCCTGTCACCCTTAAGCACTAATTATCCAATATTCTTGACAGTATTCGATAAACATCGAGGCCTTTGCTCAACTGCATTATTTGTGTCAACAAAAATGAAGCTGATGCAGGAGATGGATGGCCTTTCCTCATTAGGAAGTGAGGATTTTTTTTTTGCTTATAGATGGCAAATGACTAAAAAGTCATGGATTCTGCCAAAGGCAGGTGGTGACCAACAGGGATGAGAACTTCCTGTCTTTCAGAGATAGAATAATCTGGATGGGTTTTTAATAGCACTACAAGACCAAAGACAATGAGCACTGGCTGTTAGAGAAGACATTAGCACCACAGAGTGCTTCTCTGAGGTAAAAGTAGCTCAGAAGAAGTTCCATCATTTGATTTGCAACACATTTATTGAGAAATCTCCCAAACTAAACAATTCTTTGCATGTACACAAATTATTATACAGTTATTATTATTATACAGACCCTAGCCCACTGAGAAATACTTCCAATGGAGAAACGTAGGACTAGGCAGACAACAAATCAGATCTATTAGCACCACAGAGTGCTCCTCTGAGGTAAGTAGCTCAGAAGAAGTTCCATCACTTGATTTGCAACACATTTATTGAAAAATCTCCCAAACTAAACAATTCCTTGCATGTACACAAATTATTATACAGTGCAGAGACCCTAGCCCACTGAGGAATACTTCCAATGGAGAAACATAGGACTAGGCAGACAACAAATCAGATCTATCTCATTTGAGAGAACTATCAGCCCAAAATAATGTAAGTTTCATGAGGTACACAGTCTAAAATCAGTAATTCCAGACATCTGAAGCTATCCTGCCTCCTTTTGTCTTCTTGGACAGGTCACTTACTTCATTTCTTTAATTTGCTTTTCACTTAAGTCACAGTGAAAAGCAACTTAAAATATTGGGTCAGAATAAAAGAAGAGTAAGGAATAACAGCTCCCACCTCTGCCTCAAAACAAGCCCTGGCCTCATCTGTATGGTCTAGTAACAATAAACAGCTACATTGCCAAAATCAACTTAAAATACTGGGTCAGAATAAAAGAAGGGTAAGGAATAACAGCTCCCCACCTCTGCCTCAAAAAAAGCCCTGGCCTCGTCTGTATGGTCTAGTAACAATAAACAGCTACATTGCTGGAACTGAGATTTAATTCTGTCAAGCAACCAGCTGGCACCTAGCAGTCATGAAACATGAGCAACTCAATGAATTTTATCCACAAATATTGCAAATACATAGTGCTGACTGGATGAGTTTGGGGGGAACAGGAGACATTCAGGGAATTCTTACACTACAAACAAATATTGAATCAGTTCTTGCTCTATTTCATTATAATATATTTTTAACAAAAGATGACAGAATAATGTCTGTTTAAGTAAGGGAGGAGAGAGAGAAAATAAAACAGAAATGAAGAGAGGCAAAAAGGAAGAATAGCCCTATTCATATTCTGCTTCTTCTTAATCTCTTTCACCGAAGCTGATCTCTGTAAATCTGCTAAGATTCCTATCGGGATATATTTGTCTGCTCTTGAGATGTAAGAGGGAGAGCTGATTAACATCAAACAACACAGAGTGAATGGAGAAGAGCTTTGTTCAGGCTGATGTATAATTACTACCCTTCTTGCTGTCTGCTTTATATCAAGCCTAAAAGGATCGGAGGGATTTCCTTTGGTGAAAGTAATCGTTCTGTGTCCACATTTTTCTTTCTTTTGCTCAGTTTCTCCATGCAAGATCAGGCTTCCAAATTGCTAGACAACCATATGGAACAGAAAAGAGGACTACCCTGCTGATTTAAAAGGCAAGTCCTACTTTTTAATATGAGAAATTAAATTCTGTTCGTATTTAGAAGTAAAGTATGCCCCCCATTAGACTTGGTTCTGATCAAAGCTCATGACTCTGGTTTGTAGCCAGTGAAGAAAAACAGCTATTTCTAGATTGTGAATCAGCCCACCTGAGCTAGAATGTAGGACAGGTCAATGAATTAAAATTGCCTGGACCCATAGCTTTTAAAGACATCTAAAGCTAAATCAGATTAAGGTTCTGCAACTGACGATGTGCATAAAAACAGAAGACAAGCCAGTAGCATGTTCTGAGAATCCTAAAACTAGGGGTTGAAAACATCCCTGGGGGACCCACAACTGTGGAGGAGGAAACCCCGCCATGGACATCACCCTTCTCCTAGTGAGGACCTCAGGGTGATGGCATACATCAGCAATCTCTACCTTTTTTCTTTCTACAGGAATGGTGCCTTTGCTGCTAGGTCCTAGAGAGATAATGGAAGAGTGACCATCACATCAGGGCAAAGACGTAGATATTTAGAAGTGTTTTGTATATCAATTTTAAATTATTAATCCTTATTAGTGTTGTTATCAACTAAATGCTGTACTAATTTGGAAACGATTGCTAGTATTTTTGTAACTGCCCTTTGTAAAGGGCTGTTGAGGGATTTAGATCACAGAAATGAGTGTCATAAGCAGAATCACCCACTTCTCTTGTTTACAGTCTATACTCCTCCTATCTTCATGTTTATCCTGTTCCAGCTCTCTGTCCAGTCATCACTCTCTGATCTCCTTCTACCTCCCAACACAGCAGCTCCTTCAATGCTCTTTTTCCTCTCTGGAGCTTTTCCTCCTCCAAAAGATGCCCTGGACAGATTGCTCTTCACTCCATAAATTTCTCCAGAAAGCAGTTCCTGCTCTGCGTGGCGGGGGTGGGAAATGGAGAGGGAGGAGATTGCAATGCAATATCACCTTAAAAGTGATATTTGAAGAGAGCACTTCAAAGTGCCTCAGGAATGGTAGCAGTTTGGAACAGTCTGTGCAGCCTGCCAGCGAATAGGGCCCCTCTCTTCTCTGGCAATAAACCCAACAACAAGCTGCATACTGCTGTGTGTGAACTGCTAGTACTGCCTAAGCTGCCAGCAGAAAGTGTACCCCTGTTAGGCTACACCGCAGCCCAGTTTTTTGCTGAGAAAGAAGTAAAAAGTCAAATTCCTTCACTTTTCACACTCTATTTGCTAAGGTACCCTCCAAACCATTGTGGGCTCCCCAAAACCGAAAACTGAGAGTCCCAAACTGAGTGTGTATCAGATATTAGACAATAACAACTGGTATTAGACTTTATTTTAACTGTCTCTGGCATATTGTGCTAGGCCCAGCTACCTCTATGTGTTCCAGGGTGTTGTTAAGCTATGCAATTCCACTCAACAAATTAGTGTCACTGATAAAATTTTACACAGGTCCAAAGAGCAATTAGGCAAAATCATAGCAGAAGTATCCATTAAGGGCTATTAAATACAAAGATAGCACATCTGGCCTGGGTAGAGTCTGATCTGCAGGTTGCAGAAGGCTAGGAAATACTCCCAGGGTATATCAATACATGCCTGCTTCTCTCATACTGTCATTTGTATACTAGACATTTCCCAATGGCCACTCAAGGACTAGGTCTTGCGTTTCCAGATGGAGATCATCTAATCTCTCTGTGAAGCAATGCCATAAATTCGTCACCAAGCACAAAAGATGGTCCTGCTGCTGCTTTTTGCAAGGATAGTGATACTCTGGACATGGCAACATAGAAATAATTTGGAAGCTGTCATCTTTTCAAAAACATTTTGCCAACATGCTTTGCAAGTTTCAGCCACAAATCTTGATACCTTATAGGATGCTACCAGTGGATTTTTAGCAGTTATGTTACTGGGCAGCAAGAAGGAAGTGCCCCAGAAGGACAGCATGGCCATCACTGTCTTATTTTCTGGAAATGTCCTCTTCTAAAAGATGCTGGAGAACTCATAGAAGAGTATGCTCATAGCACTTACCAGTGTCTTGTAATCAATCTGCTGTCGGATAAGCTTGTCTTCACTCAGAGAGTATCGGGCTTCCCCAGTGATAGAGTCGATGGGACCCTTTTCCATCTGCTGCTTGATGGCACAGAAGAGGGAAAACAGAGGTTCACCAGCACATTCCTGCAAGGGGTGGAACAGACAAGAGCCAGATGAAGTACGAGGAGCAGAGGTGAAAACCTGGAGTCCAAAATATGTAACATAGAATCATTATGGTTGGAAAAGGCTTTTAAGATCGAGTCCAACCGTAAAGCATCTCAGTGATTGCCGGCTCCAAGCCACCTGAGGCAGGTAGGTCAATGGGAAATAGTTTATTCCTCACATGCAGTCAATGTTCAACTCCACCAAGTTCTCCTGAGTCCTTCTAACATACTAGTGGATTGACCTCAAAACAACACTTGTTGCCCCCAGGGTAACTCCCCCACTTCTTCAGAGTGAAACCAGCCCTTTGAGTGCCATTGCACAGGCTAAGGGTGTCTAGTAGTTCTGAGGCCAGCAGAGACCCACAGAAGCATCCCAAGTTGTTTCTGATGGGTCAGGGCAATGCAGCAAAGAGGGTAGGGGATGAGGCTCAAAGGACCCAGAGACAGTGCTGTTAGGTAGATGGACCACTGTTGCCCTATGCAGGGTGCCTGGGCACAGAGTCTCCCCAAGTTCTCCCATTCCGGAAGCAAGCAGGGATGCTCTGACAGGAGCAGCTCCATGACCCAGGGGAGAAATGCATCACTGTGTCCATGTGGTTGCATTGGTGATATCAGTTGTTTGTGTCCCAACTTGGGACAGCTGCAAAGAGACCACAGGCAGAACCCATGAAGCACCCCCTTCCCTAATTCTTCCTTGCCTTTATTTGTGATCTCCCCTCTCCTCCTTCCCACAGCTTTCTTGGGCTCTCCTCTCTTGCTGCACTGACCTATGCCATGAACCCCTCCTGTGGTCTCTCCTCTTGTTTCCCTTCTCTCTTATCTCTCTCTCCTTCCTTCTCTTCTTCCCACCTTACCCTCCATTTTCCTGGTTTGTCCCACCTCAGTGAGTGAGGTCATTCACCTCTGGTGCAAATCTCAGCAAAAAAACAGTTAATAATCTGAAGTGAAGCAGCCCCTTTCTCAGTATGTACACCTGTCTCCCACTTAATTAGCTTATCTGCCAGGAGCATATTGCTTCTGTGTGCCTGTCTCTTGGCCTTATCAGGCCTCTGCTCAGGCTAAGGCAAGAAGACAAGTTACTGGGGGAAGCAGGGGAAGCCTATTATAAAAGCAGTGCTTTAGAGAGTGACCTCCTTATATCCTTTCCTTTCAGCTGAAAACAGGAATCTGATATTAAACTGACTGGAATTACCTTCTAGGGACCTTCAAAACTTTCCCACCTATTCATCTCAAACAATCCCTCTTGGTTCTTCCTGAGTCAGGAGAAAGGCCCTCACTCATTAGACTGGAAAGTTTTGGCCCCAGCTAAACCTCACCAAGAAAAGCAAGACACAGTTGTTCATCTGGGCACGTTGCTTCTCTTACCTTCAGAAACTTGTACAAAAGGAAGGTGAACCAGTTGGTGAGCATTTTCTCTGCCACGGACTCTGTCCTAAAACCAATCCAAGAGAAAAACAGGATAGGAAATGAATTAGTCATGTTGGTCATGCCAAAGGACTTGGTCAGAGGATGAATTTTGTCCATTTTCCTGCCCAGATCACTGAGCAAATCGCAGACCTATGCAGATTAAAAGGTATCGGTATCTCTTTGCTTCCTGCAAAGACTTAGAAACTGAGTTGAATGATGAACTTTGCAAAATCTTAAGACAGATGGATGCAAGACATCTAAACTATTGAAAAAAATAGTAATCTGTCATCGATTATCTTCCCAGCATTTTTAACTGATTATATTCCCCAGTGTGTCAATCAGGGAAAGGGAGACCTGCACGTAGCTGCTCCTGTAATGCTCTCTCCTCAGCAGGTAAAAATCCATTTCCAATTCTCAGGGCTAGCTTTCCCTGCAGAAGGACCAACTCAGGTCCATAAGTTGCTCTGGACACCAGTAGGACAGTGTAATTCATGACAGCTTCAGTGCATGCTCTGGTCTTATTCCTCCAAGTGCCTGCAGTCAGTATCTTCAAGGTCAGAGCAAAAATCCTTCTTGGATGAATAAATTTGGTTTCTAGGTGCCCTAGTCCTCTATCATGAAGCTGGTCTTGCTTCCTTTGGCAAAGTGAAGGGTTTGCATTAAGTTGTATGCCCGCATGCACCCAAAGACCTCGCCTGAAAGCAGTGCCGTGTTACAGCGACATAGAACAAGTGACAGTCCTTTCCCTAGCTAAGTGTGGTTGATCTTTAGCCTGGTTTCCATAGGGATTTCTCTATTCTTGTGGGCACATCTCATTTAGATGGTAGGGATGGCAGGGAGGTGAATAATAGCAGTGCTAGTCGTCATTCTTCTTCTCTTGCCTACAGCCATAGAGGTGACATGGCCCCAGTTCACTAGGGCATTAATGCTTTTCCTGTACTTCCTTTGCCTACAGTGATCATTGCCATGTCTCTATCTAGAGCCTGCCTCTTTCTGAAGAGTGTTTTTGTTGTGCATTTTCCTCAGTTAGGGTCACCTCACCATTTTGCTCACTGTATGGTCTTTATGTCCAGCACTCCCTGTGTTGCTCATGGTTCGAGCTCCTCAAACAGTGATGCCACCCAGGCAGGTGTTCTCCTGCACTCCCTGGTGTGACACCCCAAGTTTGGGACCAAACACATGGTGCAAACCCAGTATCACAATGAGGAAAAGAGCTGAACACCCTGCTGTGCTGTTGACCCTGCTCTGGCAACTTCGATCCTTTTGAGGTTGGATATAATATGGGGATGAATCCTGGACACAGATGAAGTGGGAAAAGCTTAATAACCAGAAAACTCCCCCTGCCAACACTTCACAGACCAAAAGTGCAGAAGGATTTTGGAAGATTCCCCTCCATCACAAGGAACCATCAGGTTCAGGTTGAATCTATCTGGTGCAAATAAATCGTCTGGGAGACTAGGACCAAGACCTGAAACTCAAAGCATCAAGTTATTCCCACAGGGCTCTGTTTCAGTGCTGGTCAGGACAGTGACTCCATTTCAGAGAAATCAAAAGAAAACAAAACAAAAGAAACTTCACCTTGTGCTTTTAAATCTTGCACAGTGGACGTGGCTTCTGTGTATATCTGTTTTTCTCCCAAAGACCACATGGCATTTCCAGTAAAGAGAATGGGTGAGGAAAGAACTGGATGAAGGGAAAATAGGGAAAATGGGGTGCTCAAGAGAAGACAGGCATAAAAGGCTTGGGAAGACAAAGAAACGGAGAAAGGGGGAAATGAAGAGAGGGGAGAGTTGGAAGGAGGCAATCTCAGATGTGCAGAGAGGAATTGCAAGGAATGACAAATGGGAGGATGCCAGCCAGGCTGTAAGCCTGAAATTACATCAGGGAGTTAACTGACACCAAAGCAAAATCCATTTTCTGCCCCGGCTTTGCTGCCCTGTGTACCAAGAGATGCCTGCAGCTCCTCTTCTTGCTGGTGCTCCATGGTGGGTTGTGTGCCAGATAAAAACCCTCCCAGCAGGCACAGAAGACCTCTACCCTGCCTGAGACATCCACTGTAATCAGCACAGAACCCCTCAAAGACAGATCTGAGCAGTGCAAAGGCCATCCATTCCCTCTCGGTGATGCCAGGGGAAATCTGAAGCCAGTAGTTTTACTTAAGGTCTTGGGTTCAATCAGAAAGGCTGGTTCAGGCTGTGGGGAGGAAGAGCTGAGTGTGATCCTAAAGGGAGAAGATGCAGCATTTCCCTAGGCAGGGAAAGCATATTAGTTACAGAGCTGTAGATGTACCCTTGTAATTCAAGGGTTTCCACAACCTTGGCGTTGAGACCTTAGATGTGGCTAGGAAGCACTAAACTAGGCTTGTGCTCTTTACGAAACAATTTCTGCTGCCCGTATCAGCTTTGCCTCTTGATTGCAATCAGCTTCCAAATTCAGTGCTCAGGGAGTAGCAGGAGATCACATAGCTGAAGGAGACTCTCTGTTCATCTGTTGTTCTATCAGCAACAAGATACATGACAGGGCAGTCTATGACCCAGGCAGCAAACCTCTCTTATATGGATATGAGTCCTACGTGATACAATTGGAGGCATTCAGGGTAAAAGGAAACACAGGTATAAATGAAGCATTAATGACTTATTGACCTATCCCAAAGGAGGACTTTGAGGTCCTGATTTCATGCAATCCAAAACCCAAGAGATTGGCAGGCCCCTGGAATTACTTACCTCCGGAGAAGCAGTTTAGGGTGGTTCTTGCTCTCCAGATTCTTGTCAATGAGGTCAGCCAACAGTTGTTTGAGGACATCAGTAGCATACTCAAGCTTGCTCTGCAGCACAGTCATGATGAGCGAGGCCACATTGCCACGGTCCCGCATGGAGAAGCTGCGCTGGGACTCCAGTGTGCGAATGAAGGAAAGCAGGAAAACTTTGTTGTTGATGAGCTGGGCAAAAAGCTTCAGGCCTTTCTCTACCCTCTCCTGACGATAGCCAGGGACCTGCACAAGAAGAGAAGGAGGTCAAATCATCCCCTCATTGACTGCTGTCATGCCACTGCCAAATAGATCATAATTCCCCTTTTCTGCCTCTCTGCTCTCAGCCTTCCAGTTTCTCCAAGTCAGCCCATGTAAACATAGACTTTAACATGGAGCAACAGTCGAGTCTGAGACAGGGAAAAGGCAAAGCTGCTATAAATAGTGAAGTTTTGCTTTGTTTTGTTTTTTTGGTCTCGAATCTGTAAGGAAGGTGAGTCCTTCCTCCTGCTTCACAGAACGATCCTGTAAGAAGGAAGGGGGTCCACACATCAAGTGAGAAGGTCATGTTATTTTCCAAATCTTCATTTACCTCCCTGAACAGTACATTCAGAAGAGACAGCTAGTGATCAATGTGGTATCATGCCATGTTGTAGTTTGATTGCATTCTGATCAAAGTCTCACTCTATCTGTTCCAACATCCTTCTCTGCAAGGATCCTGCTTACATCAGTAAACAAGTCTGAGTCAATGCTGAAAGTATTGGGTTACTTGGGACTCTTGTCAGTCCAACCTATCCAGATCTCCTGTTCATCTTGTTCCAGCAAGTTCCCACACATCTGCTGTCCTTCAATACCTGTCATAATGCAGGGAAGGTGCAATGCAGGGACAGGTTTGGCGTTCTGCCTTAAGGAATTGGGAGAGGTAAAAAGACATTGCGTGGAGAAAGCGGACTTGAGAGTCAGGTCATGATCTGAGGAGGGAAATAGGCTTGAGGTGATGGCTGAGGTGGTGAGCATGTAGTTGTGTATAAGTCTGAAGTGGAGAGAACAGGACACAGAGATTTGGACAGAAGGATGTGCTTGGGAAATCAGATGGTTTAGAGACAGAGAAGTTGACGAGTCTCTGGCACATTCCTGTGAAAGAATGATGAAGTATCTTCTATACTGGACTTCAGGACTGGACCTTGGATTCTATCTACAGAGGTGTCTACCATGCCTCAACTTTCTATCTCTGGACAAGAATGGAGCCATGGGTATACTCCATCCTTTGATCTGCTGCACCAATGCAGCCTTAATGGGAGAACCCCAGACTCATTCCTCTCTCCTGCTGGACCTTTCTCAGACCCTCAAGAAGCTTCCCTGCAAGCTGGGGAGCCACACCACAGAGCACACATGCCATGGTTGTACGTATGTGTGTCATTACTCACACAGCTTTGACACCTCCATTCAAAACAAGTTTGTGTGCTTAAATACCCAAGTAATGTAAGGCTGCTTCGGGGGTCATTACTTCTTTATTCCAGAAATTAGAGATCTTAACTCTTTTTGCATACAGCAAATAGTTTTAAATAACTACAGACAGCCAATAAAAATATTACAACCCATCCCACTAATAATTATTTTTAGCTCACTTTCTTGAACATTTAATATTGTCTACCTCTAGGTTATTACAGAGAATTAAAAACAAGAAAAACATAACACAAGTATTTTGTACTGCATCTTGAAGCAGTTAATTAGCAAACGAGGTAGAAATAAATAAGACCTGCTCACTGAAACTCTGTGCTAGGGTCTTTTCCCAATAAACAGCATGAGTGAGGATTCCTAGGCAAGTAATTCTTAGCATTGTTTGTTGTTACTGTTGTTTGTTTGTTTGTCTTATCTCCTTCTAGGTGCTAGCAGAGAACAGAATGAAAGCTGCCTTTCCTGCTTTGTCAGCAGCCAAAAATGTGGGAACTGAAAGAACAATTAAAGCTTTACAAAATATTGGGAGGTAAGGGAGGGATGGAAAGATGATGAAAAAAAAAAGGAGAAGAAGAGATCAAAAGTGACAGATTGAAATATTAACTCATAAAAGTTTTTTATTTTTTCTCTTTAAGGTTTGGTGGCCTTGGTAAAACCTTTGTGTGTTATGTCTCTCCACTTGTATCTGCATATGGGCACAACCATGGTGAAAACTGCAGGGGCGAGACTCTGCTCATCTGACTGTAGTTAGTGAATACAGGGGTTGAAATGGTCCCTGGGTGTGATGAAAAAGCTTGTGTGTGTGTGTATGCGCACATGTGTGTGCTAGAGAGGAATTGATCACCCCTCCTCTCTTCAACTCTGTGAAACTGCACACTTCTTGAGTGAAAGCAGCCCCATTTGCACCCCAAAATTCAACCCCTTCTATAACTCCTGTGTAACACAACCTCCTGTCCATCCCCACAAGACTTCACCATTTCTTTTTACTTGCTCATGAGTGGCTGGCCTCCTCAGTACTGCACTCAGGCAGTTTTTTTTAATGGTTCTCCCTATATAGTTTGATGTAGCTTGGCCCTGCTGAAGAAAAGGAGCAAAGAATAGCAGGCACCTCTAATTACACAGCCAGCCAAGCATGGTATTGCCTCTGCCAGCTCTTATTCTTCAGCTCTGCCAGCTACTGCAGTCCTGGCCTCAGGCAGTTCCTCAGTAGCCCATGCCAAAGCCTGTCTGAAGTGCAGAGTTTGCCAAAGGCTTTGCAGAGAGTTCAGCCAAGGACCTCCCTGATCTTGGCCATGGTATACCCCAGCCCAGGTATCCCTAGAACAGAACCTGTCCATCCTGCCAAGCCCTGAACCAGCTTTGTAGCAGAGGCCTTCAGCGAAAACTCACCTGAGGCTTGTCAAACTCACTGTTGCCAGAAAACTAATGCAGACAATGTGCAGACCTCTACATTAATGGGCAACTTCTCCCCAAACTCCCATTGCTGCCTCTGGTGACTGGGGGTGCTGCAGGAACATGCAAGCATGTGTGGTCAGAGAGAGGAGGTGAGTTTCTGACCTCCTTGCAAGCCACAGAGACCTGCAGCTATGGAGCACAGCAAATGCAAACCTCTGGTGAGTGTCCATCATTTTTATAGGTGTTGTCCAGGTAAAGGATCTGATAATGTCATCAGCATCAGCAAAGCTCCACAGACAGCTCCAGAACTCTCTTTTGATCCCTTTTCCCAGGCCCTTGTTTAGCTGCAACTAATAAAACCAATTTCAAAAGCAAACCCCAAGAGGTTGGAGACACAGAAGGGACAGAATATGGTGGACCTAGTGTACACAAATCTATGGGGCTCTTCCAAATAGTTGAGTGATCAAGCAGCAGGCCAGAACTTAACATCTAAGATAGCAACAATCATCTCCCCCTTCTCAATCAGACTTTTTATGAGGTGCTGTTTTTATTCTGGTAAGACAAAACATTGTAAGCCACCTTGTCCATGACACAACATCTCTTGCATTCAGGGCAGAACAGAGAGCAACGAAATGACCCAGCAGCTGTAAATATTGATTTTGTACCTCTAGATCCCTCAGGACTGGGTGGTCTTCAATGCCAGGGAAAAGCACTCTCATGGTGTAGGTTCGGTAATCGAGGAAAGGGATCCCGGCTCCATCTAGGTCACTTGTTAGTTCATGAATATCCGTCTGCAGCTCTGCAAAAGCTGGTACAGAAATGACCCATTCATGTAGCAATAACAGTACAGTTCTCACTCATCATGATCAGAAAGGCCCTCAGACCCGTATGTTTCCCCTGGGAAAACTGAGATTGGGGTATGAGTGGAGAAGCAATGTGTGGAAAAAGGTAGAAAAGTGCAGCCTTACCCCAAGGTCAAGGGCCAAGGCTACCCCTGGGCTTAGGAAATGCAGTTAGGATGGCAAGGCTGGTTCTGGGCAAAGCCAGACCTAGATCTACGCTTGATTCAAAACCAAAGGGCTTGAGTGAACTCCTAAAGGGTTCAATCACTAGTGGTGATAATTCAGCTCCAAGTTTTGTGGCTGATTCTTCTCTGCAATGAATACTGATACATCTCGTATCTGAAATGAGTTAAGCTTTCATATTAATATAAATATTCATAATTCACATTTGGTGGGCTAAACTAACCATAAACCATTTATGTGATATTTCAGGGCAGAAGAACCTCTATTTGACCTTTCCCTATTAAGTTTATCTTTAGAAATAAAACAAACAATACAAATGAAAAGGTTCTCCTCAGCTTTCCTTCCCTGTCCTACCTTCTTTGCACTCCAGTGCAACCCTGGACTCCAGGTTGTCCATCTGCATCTGCAGACGTTTGAGGGTCAGGTCGCTCTCTCGGGACTTGCGCTTGTATGCAATCAGCACAGCCACGATGAAGATGATGAGCAGGCCACCAGCCACGGCAATGCTGACAATAGCTGGCAAGCTCAGCAGGCTGTCTGGAGAGATGTAGACCATCCCCGGGGAGAACTCCATTCCTCCTACTCGAGCCTGGAGGGAAGGCAGGGAACAGATTGCATTAAACTACTGCATTAAAACTCCCCAATGAGCAGAAACACAGAGGAACCTCCCAGCTACGACTGTTGTGCAAGACAAACTCATACAATATGATATGAGTATTAGCTTGTCTCATAAGCTAAACAGGGTAGGAATACCTGGATAAGGAATGGCTGAGAACACCTGACATGCCAGGTAAAATCAGCTCTGGTGGTAGAGAAAACAGGAAAGAGATCAGGATAATGCTTTCAGTGAGACAAATGTTACTAAGTCCAGTTACTTGGGTTTTCCATCCCTTCCCCTGAATGGCTATCTTGTGCTGCACCACCCTGATCCCAACATAAACACAGGCCATGTAGCTCTTGAGCAAGATCTGATAGGTTGTAACTTTATTATGGGACAGGAGACATCAAAAGTGGGCAGTTGACACAGGAGCACTCAGGGCAGAGGGAGAGAGAAATCACAGCGTGACAATTTGCTTTTGAAAACTCTCTGGAAGCCCCTGGGACAGGAAAAACATATAACAAAAGCTCCCAGAGCCTGGCCCATGTTCTTTGCAATTTCTCCCCTAACCACATGCTTGGGTTTGCCCCGTTGATAAAGAGACTTCAGATGGTCCCCAGCTGGGCAGAGAGCAGAAGACAGCTATGTGCTCTCTGTGAACTCCCGGAGGTTCCCTGGTCTCTGTCTAGCGTCTCGGTCAACTTGGCTGTGCTCTCAAAAAACAGAAAGAAAACTGCAGACAGTGTTGCTGCACGCAGGATAAAAGGCTCTGTTGAGGCAAGTCTGCTGGGGACCTACTTTTCTAACATGAGCACTCCTCCAAACAGTAATCCTGATTGATAGCTGATGCTTGTTCGAGGCTACCACAGCTCTGGTTTTGCCCTGACCAAATGTAAGTGCTGGCCTTAAGATGAGATGAGTTGTGTCCTAAATGCCTATTGCTGTATTTGACCTCCTCTCCACTCACTATATCATTCAAGTCCAGGATAACTTTTCCAGATATATGTTCTTATACTAAATACCCACACTCAGCACCCCTCTCTTTTTTTTTTTTTTCCGGACCTTCTCCACCTAGTTACTCATTGGTCTTCCTCATTCCTGGTTCTTCTTCACTTGTGTCTGGTTTTTAGTGGATGTCCTTTTTTTTTGTCTTACCCCTGTCATTGTAAAAAAGATAACCAAACTAGTGCAGTAATATGGTGACATCAATACGTATTTCTGTCATTAACTGTTCCTTCCCTTAAAACAAACTCAGCGTTGCAATGGTTAAGTCAGTCCCCCTCTCTCAGATCTAGGCCACATCCCTTTCCAAGAAAGGGTTTGTTAAGCAATTTGCTCAAGGTCACACAGTGAATCACTGGCAGAAGCAGGCAGAGAACCTGGGAGAACTACCTGACATTTATTCTGACATCAGAGTGACATTCATGGGAAACACAGGGAGACGTTTTGTACCAACTCAAGCAACAGAAATGATTTGTCATCCTGGAGGAGGCATTCCCCAGGCCAGCTGTCCTCCTGGTGAATTCTAGATGCAAAGTCCGTCTTTGAACGTTGGCTTCCACTGCAAGTAACCTTCTGTGCTTGGTTCTCAGCCCAGACACTGTCAGAGAGTTGCCCCAGTGCTTGCTATTTAAAGAAAAATGTGTAACTTACTCCTAACACTAATGCTCATTAACAGGCTTCAGCAAAATCATATAATCAAGTTTCTAACAATGGCTATTGTTTGAACAATCTCCACAAAAAAAAAAAAAAATTTCTTTTTGCCTGTGACTTCACTTGACCTGTCCCAAGCTGCAGGAACAGGAGAGTCTTCACAAGTGATAAGGTCTGGTTCTGTGTTTACCCTTCCCTGATCCCCAGGGCCTGATTACTGCTCACCTAACTTTGGGTTTTCTGTCTCCAGTATTGGCTTTATCAATCTCTGGCTAACCATATGTTTAATTGCATTCAGGAAAATGATACACATGGACATATATTGCCATGTTCAAAAGATTTGGAATTCACAGAGAAAAAAACTCTCACTTCATTACTGCTGCTCTTGGAGTATCTTAATGTGTTTTACGATGAAACAAGAGCCACAGTATATTTGCATAGCTGAGAAGGATTATTATCTCTCTTTTCCAGATGACAGACTTTGGCACAGAGAAGTTGAGTAGCCAATATAAGGTCTCACAACACACCAGCAGTAGTCACAAAGGGGATGCAGGATGGTCACCATGAGCTCTCTATTTTCAAAAAGTTTCCAGAAAACTCTCTCTTTCAAAGAACCCATGCAGTGCATCTCCACCAACTGTAAGAGTCTCACTGCATTGAAATAAATAAATATATAACAGTTATAGTTTTGGAAGGGGAATAGAGAGGTGGGAAGAAGCTGATGACGGGCAGTGGGAAACATTGATCATCCATATGTGTGATGTCAGTTATTATCCTCTGCTTTGTTTCCACCCACAGCTCTGTACAACTCAGATGATTTTGCTGATGTGCTGTTTATCAAGCAACAGCACCGAGGCATGCAAATTACTGAGAAGAAAGTAAAGGAGGAGTGCATAAATCAAAGGAGAGAGGAGGAAAAGCTCCCTCCAGTGCAATCACTATGGTCATTTTTCATACAACCCAGGAAGATTGCATAGATTATATTAAGTTATACAGATGTCAAACCCTCAAACTTCAGTCACGCTAGAGTCCATATCTTGCTTGCTTTTCTTTCCTGCATAAAAGTAAATTTTAACCACCTGCATCTTGTCAATCGTTGAGGACAGTACTGACTTTAATGTAGTGCGTCATGTAGGGAATATGTTACATATATGAATTTGCATGAACATCTGGGCTTCACACAGTCTGTAAGAAGAAAGAAGATAAGCAAGATTTCCTAAAGGACTTTGATTATGAGAGGTCTCTCACTGTCCATAGGGATCTCCAGGTGACTTTTCCGAGACTAATGGGAGTTTTATAGCAAGAAGGGGCCACAAAGTTTGTGGTATCTATGGAAGACAAATGGGGATTAAAACTCCCAGGAGATCTCTGACAGCTCCTCACATCAGCATGCCCTTCCTGTCCACCCGAGACCAAAGGGTTGAGGTTCAAGCACCACTTACCATCACCTTGTGCCTTCCAATGAGGTTTGGGGACTCACAGAGCAGCTGTACATCTGATACAGTTACCACACAGGGTTTCTCACCAATTAGAACGGTGTAGTTCAGCTTGGCATTCCCTCCTGCCACGGGTGGGATCAGGTTCTTGCCCTGAATAGAAAAGAACATCACACCCCCACCCCCAAAAAATGTTGTCAGAGTTTGCCTTCCACCTCTGGTTTGCTTCTGCAACACAAGTGTTAACATTACACACGGAATACCTGCTTCACCCTTCTCTAACTTAGCAAGGAATGGCCAACCTAGAAAAGTGATGCAGAAGACAATATGGATGGCTACAGATCATTATCAGTCAAAACAGCCTATCCCATTTGTCTCTCTCTGGCAGTAATGGGGAAATTTTGCAGATAAGTCCAGCATAGACAGACCATCTCAGGACATATTCAGACAAGTAAAATATACCCCCCTTTTCAAATGTGCCAAAAGGTGTTCTTGCATCCACAATCATCTCTTTGCATATTCACCACATACAAGTGTTGATAAGAAAATGTTCAGTCATAAAATTACTTCTTTCTCTTACAGTCTGTTTTATGTAAATGACAAAGGGCTGGTGTGGGGTTTGCCAGGGTGAGAGAAAAGTTTCTAAATTCCCCAAGAGGAGATAGACATGGGCATGTTATCGTCAAACCTACTACAGGGGTGGAAAATGGTGACCAGCAGCAGAGGCAAATTTAGTTTGCATAAAAGTAGTTACAGAAGGAGTTTACTTCTGATGCAATTATGTGTAAAGATTCACTTGGCTATTCCTAGGTTCTTGGAAGTGAATGGTGTGATGTTGTCAGATGGTGATTCTCATAAGACCCTGCTGGATTCAATGAGATGATGTGTGAAATCTTGTGAGTGAAAGAAATCTCTTGGACATGTTCATGAAGCCACAGTTGTTAGTGGAGTCCTGGTAGATATAGCAGAACAAAAGACATGTTTGACCTTATCTTTAGTTCCCATCTCACCTTCAGTATAATGGGACTTCCTGGCTTCAGCTCCAGGATTCCTGAGGGGTTGAAGACCTCAAAGACTGGGTTTGGATAATAGGTGAAGTTAGTTTTGTTGAGGATCAGCAAGGACTGCACATTGTCCAGAATGAAGCCAAACTCCTCTGGACGCTCAGCTAGCTCAGACTGGTGATTGGGGTCAACTGCCAGCGCTGGAGCTTGGCAGGTCATCTCCGTGGAGTTCTGCACTTCGCAGTTCTGGAAAGAGAAACCCAATATAAAGAGTTGCCCCTAGCCCTGCTGGTGTACATATACATCCCAAAGAAATATTAGTCTACATACTGCCACAGGACAGTGAGGAACAGACCCTCATAATTATCATGATACAATTTGATGCACTTCTACTTCAAAACATACCCCATCCTTGGAAAGAGATCATGGCTGGGAAGCGATTAGGAAAGTCTCCCTGGGACAGGAGTGTGGAGCAATTTTAACTGCAACTGGTCATGCTGTGCTTCCTCCCCAGGGAAAGTCAGCTTCTGGGATAAACAGCATCAGCATCTTCCCTTAATCTGTTTCCTTCAGGAAACAGAAAGTTCTTTGTTTTTGTGCAGCAGAGCATAGTCAAAGCTTCATGACCACTCCACAATTAGATCTTAGACTTTGGGGATCACTTCAAAACTGCAGAAAAAGCTCAGTTTTGGCGAAGATTCCCTTTTGGACATCAGGTTGCCTGAAAAGTGAAGCTGGGCTGGTGAAGAAACTGGAAAGTAGATACCAGGAGATCTCGAAATTCAAAGTCAACCTTGCCATAGACCTGCTTTTTGTATAATTGAGACATGGATAATAGGTTGTGAAAGGTATTTTCTACTCTAACTGCCATTTAAAACAATTAGGAAATAGATAATTAGCATTCTTTAAAGATCTGAGCTTAATGATTCCTAACAAACCCAGCTCTATGGGGAAAAAAACACCCTTGTACCAGCTGTACTTGATGTAAGACCCTCTCCAAAACTCACTGGTATTTCCAGTGTTGGCAGAACAGCTCAACTGCTAACATTGCTTTAGATCAACTCAACAGAAAGACAAGTAAATTGTACCAAGCCAGATTCATGTTGTAAATTAAGTCCAATGTTCTTTGCTGCAATAGCTTTTACCAAGTAAACACCACCAGTTCACTCAGTTGCCCAATTACTAGGTTAAAACAGGACTGGGCACAAAGACATTGAAGTTCCTGTATTCTCTTTTTGAGCCTGCCGCAGATTCACCATTATTCATGTGATAGTTGGCTATTTTAGGTAATATCTGTCTGTGAAGTGATTTGTGATTCTTTGGTGAACAGTGCTAGAGAAGAGCGGGTATTAATTTTACAACCTGAGTTGCAGAGGAGCTGGTGGTCTCTCATTAACAGGACTAAAAAAGACAGAGAAAAAATCTGTCTCTCTTCTCACAGGTCCCTGCCAAGTGCCAGCAACAATGCTACAACAGAAATCTGCTTGCTTAAAAAAGGGTGATGCAGAAATTAGCCCACGTTTCCCGAGACCCCTTCCAATAATACACATCTGTAATCGATCAGGAACTAAGGGGCTTTCTTCAATCTGCCATCCCTCTCTGTACAACTCAGTTGACCATTATAATAACCTAGGCAGCCCTTCTTTCACCATCCTCAAAGCTTTTTTGTTGAGCTGAACTGGCGCTGTCCTGAACCTACTGTTGGGTCCAGGATATATACTCACATTGATGTGTTCTTTCCCGCCGTGCTTTGCTCGGATCTGAGGGTTTTGGATCAGATCTAGGTGAGTTCCCCACACTGCAATGGGTGTGTTGCCACTGGAGAAGAAGAAAGGAAGAATATGAACCCAGCTAATAGATACCAGGGATTAGTGCACCAGCAATGGGTGATCTATGAACATTGCCATAGTCTGGCAGGCTTCTCAGTCACACAGACAGACACCCACAGTTCTGTCCTTGTGATATACTTTTTATCATTTATCAATTACAGAAAAAAAAATCACTGAGGCATTTTTTAGTGCAAGCTTCTGTGCAGTTTGCTGTCATTTCTGCTGAATGCCTTGGTTATGAGTTATACTTCACCATGTGGATGGGATGGATACCTCTTTTGAATCTTCTGTCATTTCTAATTTGTTGGAAACAGCTGAAATTTCCCTGTCCTCCAGCCTTTCCTCCAACTTACATTTTTTTCCTCAAAGTTAATTACAGAGAGTCTGACTACATCTCACAGCTCCCTAGAAAGGAAAAGGAAATAAAAAAGAATCTTTCATGCATAAGAGGAGCATAAAACAAACCTGATTTCTTACTAAAAGTGTCACATCAAGCAGCATCTGGGTGTTCTTTGTCTGGACTCAAGAAATCATAGATGCTGGTAATGAGAAGAAGAGTGGGAAATCTAAGACGTCAGATTATTGACCATATCCCTTATATCACCTAAGTGAGTACCCAGAACCTTCAGAGACTCTCTCTTGAGGATACAGAATATCTCAGTTGGATTCTCTAGTCCCTTGTGGTGCATTAAACCTGTTTTTGAAATCATCATTCAGTGCTGTTGATTAGAGAGCTCTGGGGAAATAAGTCCTACAACACAGAAGACTCCTACGGAGTCTTCAGACTTGCTGGGTGGAATGCATTTCCTTGGTTTCCATTTGGTGACTCAGGCAGATAAGCTTTGCAACGTGTGTTAGTTCCAACATTCAACAGAATAGAGATTTCTAACCTTTATATTCTTTTGTTCAGACAAAATACTGACTTTGGGAAACCTTTTTGCTTTCATAAGGTCCACCTCTGCTTCATAAGAAGCAGAGACGCAGAGAGAGCCCTTCTCACTCCCTGCAATCAGTGTCACCCAAAGGAAATGGCTTTTGGAAACTCCCTTCTTTCCTTCCAATTGCCTCTTCTGGTGGCAATCAGGTGTCAGGGCTCATACTGCCAGGCCAGGGTGACAGAAAACTCCTCACTGGGCAGCGCTATCTCTGCTGCAGAGCTGAAGGTTACCCAGGGTGAGGAGTATGCTCACTGTTTTCAACATGTGCCTGTGTAACTCGCCTTGCAAGATATTCAGAACACAATTTATTTCTTGGAGCTCTTTGTAGAGGAAGGGAGGGGAGACCATGCAGAAATCATTTGATTTATGCGAGATTGGGAAAAGAAAGCCCAGCATCCCTTTCTTGCCTGCAGGTAAAAGTCCACATACATCCAAATGTAAAATATGTGCATTACTAATGAGACAAGAGAAAAACACTGAAGAATAATACACTGTAAAGAAGAAGCCTGTGCTGGTCCACAGCTCTACCCAGAACAAAGTTTTGACCTTTGTTTTCCATGTCTGTCATGTATCTTCCATTATTAATCATCTGGGACAGGTAGGATGTGAATGCAAAGACACATTTCCCAGCAGCACGGATATCAAGTTTTGGTGTGCTAATTGGGCCATGCATCAGTCCCTCTGACTACAACCATCCTGATGAACCAAAGACATCCATGCACCAGCTCAGACACTGGTTGATGGCCATCCGTACCACTGAAATTTTAACAGTATGCAGGCTTGGCTTCAACTACCTTAGTTAGCATCCTCTCATGCAATGCTTGGTCAAGGCTGGAGGAATGACATGGGACTGACGACTGCTCCCAGTAGCAGGATGGCTGTGGCTATGGTAATTCTGAAGCTCATTTGAAAGGATGAAAGCTTATTTGGTAGTATGAGAGCTATACATGCTAGCTGGCTTCAGGGCCAAAGAACAGCCCTAAACTGTTTATTTGTTAGTTCAGAGACAGCATCTATTGATGAAGAAGATGAGAGATTTGATGTTGTCTGAGGAGCAAAGTGTAGGTAGGAGTGTTCTGCTATTGCAATAAAAAGTTCTTGTCACCTTCTCAAGTCCAAGAGTTACTTCTTACAATATTATTCTTATGATAAATCCCAGCATTACCACAAGAAACTAATCATAGCCTGGCAAAAAGTAAAAATAAAAAAAAATATATCCATCCAAATCTTTCTCAGCAGCTAATAGCAGAACCAGGAGCTCTACCAGAAGCACAATCACACCACCTCCTTCTGAAGGTGCTCCTGAGACATTTTTCTAAGAAGTTCTTTATGGTCTTTCACTCAGTCAACACCTATGCAGCCTGATCCGTGGTTAAGACCACATTTGGCCGTGAGTTTTTAAGTAGTTTAAATTCTTGTTCTCCGCAATCACCAGCTGTGATGGAAACAATGCAGCGGGGAAATTTTATGGAGCAAAAGAATGTCTTATATTTCCATGGAAGGTCTGTTTGGGTGGCTGAGCTTTCTTGAACCCTTGGGGAATTTCTTCTGAGGTCGCATACTCACTTATAAGATGGTTCCCCACCCTTGCCTAACAGCAGAAACCCACTCTCCCAAAATTCTTCTTCAAATTAACTATTCCCAACATCACCCAGGGAGAGTTTGCTTTCCAGAAACCAGAAAAGTATATAAATTAAGCTTTTATTTTTCCATTATCCTCATTCATCTGGAGTTTTGGCTATAGTCATTAATTACTATGAATCTCTGCTGATTCAAGTTAGAACCTTGTATTTTTACTCAACTGAGAGTTTTAAATGTTCCAGACATACCAAATGTGTGTATATATATGGATATATGTGTGTGTGTGTGTGTATTTATATATGTGTATATAGATATATATAGAAACCCTTTTAATTAATCACCACTGTGCAGACAGTTTTACACCATGTGTTAAAAATACTGTATTTGGTTTGGAAATTGAGCTTGTAGTTTCAGACCGCAGCTTTTAAGTATGTCTACAGCGATGGATTAGAGAGGAGCCTTCTCTCTTAAAAAAAAAAGAAAATAGCCAAGATAGTTGCATTTGCTGAAGTCACCACGGAATCCACCCTGTCTTGCCAGCAGATCCAACTGACACTTGCCTTCCTCTGCAAGCTGATGGCCAATGGCTGTCACATCCTTGGCTGTGGATGGATGTCACTTCTTGGCCCCATCAAATCGGAGCAGACATGGCTACACAGTGAAATGCATCCTTGAGCATCAGCAGGAGGTCTCTGAGCCCAGGTCATGGCTCCCCTTCCCAGGCTATGTCTGCACGATAGCAACATCTCCCTTCCTTTCCTCTCACTCATGCCCTAGTGTTCATCATCATGTTGGCCTTGCCATATCCTGCTGCTGCCTCTTCCCAGCAAACTCAAATCCTGACACCATCTACTTGTTTCCAAACTTCAGCGTTTTTTGCTTTTGCTCTTTCTCTTTCTTCTTTTTCTTTCTCTTCTCCTTTTTTTCTTCTCTCTCCCCAGCCCTGCATTCCTGATCCTTTTCCTTGCCCATAAATCACAACATACTTTGCTCAGGGAAATTCCCCCGGCTTCAGGAGCAAGTGGCAGCCCCAGTGCTATGCAGAACTCTCCCAACAGCTCCCTCAGTCGATGGCTTGTGGCAAGACCTCGATACCTGGTAATGGGAAGCAGCATTAGGACCTTGCTACACTTATCTCTGTTCCTGAGAAACATCAGGACAGAGACAACGGGTGGCAGAGAGTGTGATAACACACACAGACCTAACGATTGCTTCTGGTCCTTCTTCCCTCTCACATCTCCGACCTGCCTGTCCCCACTCTCACTCACAGCTTAGCGAGTTACTGGAACAACTCACCTACAGGAAATAGGAATAATAAAGGTGCCAAGACTAGGAATGTTCTTAATTTAACTCTTCGTTGCCCAGAAAGCTCTGAGCACGCGTTTTCTTCAGCAGATCCAGATAATTGCTACTTGTAACTCAAATCAAACACAGGTTAAATGTATTAACAGAGCCTTATAAAATTAGAGTTACCTGCCAGCTCAATGTGACTCATTTTTTTTTTTTGGCTATGTGAGTAAATTAACAGTAATCTTTCATTTATTGTCTTGGAAAATGATGTTTGAGGAGGTTTTAAGCCAGACTGGGTATATTCATCCACTAATTTTGCAAAGCTGGTTTAGTAGCAATCATTTGTCCCTCAAAACAGCTTAGCCCCATAGCCAGGAGTGATGAATCAGAAAAGCACAGCGGATTTGCTGTAATGAATCATATTGCATAACAAACACACTGAGGAAGAGGCTGCTTAGTTTACTTTGTGATACATGAGCCTGAGTAAGTTATTTTTTTGTTTGACTCTTAGGATTTCACTTTACTGTACATTCACCCAGTTCTTTCTGAAGACCTTGCTCTTATGCTTCTCTCAATTATGATATCCAGCATGGAGATCCCTAGGTTAGCAGTTATACTGCACAAACAGTCCTAGAAACCTTGAATCACAGTGGTAATCCTGGTTGCAACATGTTACCTCTCTGGACCCTTCTTCAAGATTATGACCTGACCTCTTAGAGTGATCCAAAAGTGCAAAAGAAATGTCAAGAAAGAAGAGATGGGGTGAGTAGTTCTGGATAAAATTTGACACCCCTGTTGCTGCTCAAGCAGATGCCTCTGGATTGCAGGGACACCTAGGTGAGTAGGATTGGATATTGGATAGTACTGTATCCAATTCTGGGCTCCTCAGTACAAGAGGGATGTGGAGCTGCTGGAGAGAGTCCAGCGCAGGGCTACGAGGATGATCGGGGCCTGGAACATCTGCCCTATGAGGAGAGGCTGAGGGAGCTGGGCCTGTTCAGCTGGAGAAGAGAAGGCTGAGAGGGGACCTGAGCAGTGTCTAGAAGTACCTCAAGGGAGGCAGTGAGGAGGATGGCGCTGGCCTCTTTCACTGGTGGCCACCGACAGAACCAGACAAAATGGCCACAAACTGAAGCACCAAAAGTTCCACAGGAACTTAAGGAACAATTTCTTGACAGTGAGGTGCCAGAGCACTGGAACAGGCTGCCCAGAGAGGTTGTGGAGTCTCCTTCTCTGGAGATCTTCAAAACCCGCTTGGATGCAGTCCTGTGCCACGTGCTTTAGGTGACCCTGTGTGTGCAGGGGTTGGACTGGATGAGCTTCAAAGGTCCCTTCCAACCTTAAGGATTCTATGATCCTATGATTGCACCTGAATAATGAGACAGGTAGAATCCTCATCATCCATGCAAGCATCTCCACATCCTGGAGGGTCAGGAGCTGGTGCTGTTCTGTAGCTGTTAATTAAACACTAAGGGAATCACAGCTTGCTCCCAGTCATTCTTCCTCCCATCAGCTCCACCATCACTGCTAGTGTCTCCATGTCTCTGTTTGGCAGCTCCAGGAGAGATACCAAGGCTCTGGAGAACGTCTCCTCTTGCCTACTAGCCAGATAGATGTAACATGGAGGAAGGCTCTCGTGCTGCAATTTTCCTGTAGATAACAGGGGAATTCGCTCTCCAGAGCTGTCAATCTCACACCTTTTAACTAGCACTAGACTCACTTTAATAAGGAAGGGAGCAAAGTGATTTCTTATTTCACTGATAACCTGAACTCTGACTGAAAATAAACCTCCCAATTGGAAAATCCGTGCACTAAAGCTTCAAGCCCAATGTGTAAAGATTCAATCCGGCTAAATCAGTAAATTCCCCCACAGTAATTAAGTCCACTAATTGATTTGTGAAAACACCTTCTGGAAGGGATCTGAACCAAAGGGATTTGTCAGCCCTGCTCCTAATCCCCAGATACTCCAATCAGTCCAGTTTGACAGGGGAGCAGAGGACTGTAATAGTTGAAAGAGGGGAGTCTAAGATTTCTTATTTGGTATCTTTTCAAGGAAATAGCATTGTATTTAATGACCAATTTCTCCCTTCACAAAGCCATTTCAGTAAGCTTTTGAGGGCATTAGGGTAATGCTTTGATGTCTTCCAGGCATCAGAGCAAATGCTCTTCTCAGACACCTTCTGGGAAACACTCACCAAAGCGGCATCAATGGAGCAAAGAGGAAAAGGCAGGACTAACATGGAGGAAGACCCTTTGGTGGGGCAGGAACAGGGGTTCCTTTGGTGTTTGTATCTTGGAGGATGATCCTGGGGATTCTGGGCATTACTGCCAAATAAGTGATACCTAATGCTAAGCCATCAAGCACAGAAGGGCTGTGAGATGAGTTGGGATTGCTGTTTTAATTCCCTTAAGTGGGGTCATGATATTTATATCTGGCTCTAAGAGACCAATGAACATTTCACCTGTGGTGCTGTCACAGGAGGCCATGGGCACAGCCCAGTGGGGCCAGAAACACAGTCACAACCAGAAACACAGGAGATGCAGCTTCCAAGGGTACAACTACCTGATTTAACCATGCCAATGGGTGGCAATAGCGTGCAACCAGGGAACATCCTGGTGCTGAAGATAAACCTGACTGCAGTGAAGAGGGAAGAAGCTTCATCATCATGTTAGAGACTTGCTCCACCTGGCCTTGTAATTACTGCAGTCAGAATGCTGTGCCCAAGGCAGACTTCAAGTGAGCATTTGCAGCCGAATTTTACTGCTGTAAGTCAGGAAACTGCACACTGCTAGTGAAGCCACGATGCAGGATCATTTATCCTTGGATGAAACAGAGTTCCTTTGGAGAAAGGAAGGGAAGTTGCTGGAGATGTCCATAGGATGCTTACCTGAAGATGCTCCACTCAGGCTCGATCCTCAGTATGGTCGGATCCTCCACATATTCATAGTGCAGCTCCTGATGGATCTTGGCCTTATCCACTCTCACAGACACCTTCACCTTCTCAAAGCCTTCGTCTGAAGCAGTGGTGTTGCAGACAATATGCTTGGCGGATCTCCTGTGAGCGGAAGCAAGTAAGAATAAATCAGGTTCTGCCCGCAGCAATGCAACGATGCCAGAACAAGTCCTACTGCCTACTGTTATGTCCTGTGACCTTAACCTATGCCTTCTTAAGTGGTGAAACTCAATGCTATGGGAATATGCTGAAAATAGTGCGACACATCCATCTGAGAAAGTGGCATGTGCCTTTGCACTAGTTTAAGTAACATGACAAGCGCTACCATTACTCAGGTCTCAGAATATAAACTGAACCCCAAGGGAAGTCCAAAACAGACTGCTCTCCAGAAATGTTTCTGCATGATTAAATGCATGATGGATGTTTCCTTCTTGCCTGCAGGCATATGTAGCAGCAGCTCATAAAAAGGAGTGTTTGTTCCTGAGCTTTCCCAGTCTGGGTTAATAAAGTCTACTTTGCAGGACTGTAAGCCTTGTTTAACTGCAGTTTGCAACATGTCTGGGATCTTTGCATGGGAAGTGCTAATATAGTGAGAAGTGTTGCACAATAATACTTAAGAAGGATTTTTCATGTAACTTTTTTTCTTTCAGGCAGGGCTCAAAACTAGTTGAATTTTGCAGTGAGCCTTGCCTTCTGTAAAGATGCAAAAACTGAGGCTTTGAACAACCTCAGTCTCCCCAAGCCTGTGATTTGTTGCATCATATATACCCAAAAAGGGTAAAACAGAGTAAACTCTTTCTTTTCAGCACCTCACTTCCAGTGTGGAACCCTCTAGAGTCTTGGCATATTCTCATGAAGAAGGGGCTCAGCCCCATGCCCAATCTGCTCTGTACAGAAGCTATCATCCCCACCTGCATTTTAAATCACAGGCTGTGGTTTCACCTTCTTGAATTATAGAAAATGAACGACACTACACGACAGACAGCTAAAAAGGATGTCTCACAGCCCGGAGTTTTAAGTACATTACCCCAAGACAGTGGTCCCAGCTCCCCTGTGAACAAGCTCTTCTTTTGCCAAGGGCAGGCTAAGAGGAGAATGCCAACTCCACCCCTATTCCTCACCAATACTGGCAGCAAAATGCATTGCACTGGGGCATTTCGAGCTGCAGGAGCCCCTGGGAACTGGACACAGGCTGATTCTCACAGGGATCAGGGAGCATTCAGCAGGTAACACTGACATTAGGCATCTCTGAACTGCCATTGAACAAGAGCCAACTGAGGGCTGGAATCTGCAAGTCATCCATTTCTCAGCACTACAGGACTATTTTGGGATAAAAGGGAGGTGTTTTAATACTAAGAACCAATGTTGTCAGATTTTCTTTCTTCTCTCATCTAAAGCAGGGACACGAAAATGAATCTTTTTAACTATGCACTCCCAGAACAAGCTGCTAAGCATGGGACCGTGGAGAATTACAGTGAAATTTAACAAGGGACTATGGAAAAAGTACTTCAAATACTAATCAAAACAATGAAATAAATCCTATCCTCCCATCTGAAAGCATGCACAGTCAGATTGCTCTAATGGAAAATGGGGCAGAATGCAAAAGTCTTGCTACAGAACAGATGTGGCCACAGGCAACAGAAGTATTTGAGGGAAATAGTCCTGGCTACAGAAGAGATCTCTTGACTATAATTGCGTGATTGCCAAGAGAAGTTCAGTTATTTCTTTAGGGTTTTTTTTCAGGCATATAGAGGAAGAAGGACTTATGCGTACCTGTAGAAGAGGCAGGGTTGTCGCCCAAATGTCACGATGACATTGCTGCCTGCGTTGAGGTTGTTACCTGTAATAGTCACCTGAGTGCCCCCTGACACTGGGCCCCGCTTCGGCTTGAGATCTGAGAGCGTCAGAGTCTGTGAAGGCAAAGGGTCATGTTGAAAAGACAGCAGAAGAGTTGAGTTAATTTGACCATCTCTTTAATACGGGAGAGATGTAGGCACCTGCAGACTGTTAATCAGGTTTTGGGAGATGCCCGTATCTTCCCACTAAAAGAAAAGCCTAGAATGACTCCAGCCCTATCACAGACACTCTACTGGAATATCAGATTGGATGGGATGAATCCACACATAAACACTAGTTTTGTCTTGTCTCCATGTAATATAAGAACTTTTCTTGTATCTGCTCAGAAATATTCCATGTTTTCAAAGTCACTTCCATGCCTGGAGAAGCTGCAGCTTCTCCAGGCGGACTTTCCCGTCTTCACCACCCATGTGAAACAGCTCAGCCATGTTCTTCTACAATGCAACACCACCTCTGCAAGATAGCCCTGAGCTTGAACTGGTGGGGGGCTTGAATTGGTCTTAAACTGGTGGCCTGGACCTCACTGGGGGCTCTCCTACTCCAGAGAAAAATGCAGAACTTGAAAGAAGTGAAAAAAAAAAACGTGTTTCTTGGAAAGATTGCTCTAAACTCTATTGATCTGGCAACGAGTAGAACCTGGTGTACCATCTTGGAGAGTAGTTTAAAAATACTTTATGTGGCCTTGGGCTTTTTTCTCAGGAAAGAGAACTGTGGTGCAACATTGCTCTTCCAAATACATCAGTGATGGGTTAATATAACAAAAAGGAATACAGTTCCTTCCGGAGCTCAAAAATCCCAAGCCTCTGTCTCTTATCCCCTTCCCCTCCCTTTTTCCCCAAATCAAGAATAAAATACTCGCAGTCTGAAGACACAGATCACCCTCTTACCATAGTGCAGAGAGGAGACATCCATTTTCAGGGAGAAATTTGGAGTTACAGTTTGTTCTTTCATTTGCATTTTAATAGAAAAACTTTCCACTCAGTCCCAAGTGAAAAGCCACTATATGCATTTAAATGAAGATTTTTTTTTCCTCCCTCTCTTTAAGAATGATGACACAAATGCTTGAAGCTCTCCTCTGCTCCTGTGAATGAGCAGGTACATCATGCAGTCGTCTTATTGAGCTTTGGAGACCATTAATCCACGTTTATAAAATCGCCTGACACATATCACGGCTCCCCCTTTCACACCCACCCCATGTCCCCCTCTGGCTAATCATTTTGAAAAACAGCAGCAATATTTCTACTTCCATTTGAAATGAAGTTACCACTTGGAGAAAGGCCTGAACATGAAAATAAGACTTATGGTCCAGTAGGAAAACCTGCTAACAGAGCTGGAACTTTTCTGTGCTTGACTCTTTCTGACATGTCAATTTGGATAGTTTTACCTCAAGAAGTCCCTTGTCTATCAGTTTGTGAAGGTTGGGAGGGATAGAAGGGAAAGAACTGTGTCTCTACCACTTTTCTGGGAATATGCACGAACAGCCACTGTTGTGAAAAAAAAGATATTGCACTAGATGGGTCTTCCATATAGCATGATCGTGTTTTTATGGTACTATCTAAGGCTGCAATGGTAAATCATCACTAATCACTTATTTGAGTTAAAGACACAAAGTCTGAGTCCCAGTGCTCAGTGGTAGGTGACCCCCTCTCCCCAGATTCAGATGAAATGACCATTTGTGCCCTTTTGAGGACTCTCGCGGATCAGAATTACATTAGCAATGCTCCTATGCAAAGTATTGCAGCATCTCATGCTAGTCTCACAAAAGGGTTTGTGGCTAAGCTTTCGAAGTTGCAATAAGTCATTAATTATTCACAGTGGCTTTCATAAATATTGCACGGCATGTTTGCACTGAAACTCAGCCTCCAGACTGTTTACCATTTCCTTGCTGGCAAAAGGTGATGGAAAATGCAAAGAGGTCTGGTAGATCTGTAGGAGGCTGAAATGGATGGTGACAGAGGAGGCCAGAAAACCTTCCGCATCCCTCACGGGGCTGTTTACTTTTGCCTGCTTCCCAGGTCTTTCCTTTCTTCCATCCTATCCTTATTACAATCTGTCCTAGGAAATATCCTCGAAGGTGGAAGTTTTGGAGGTGTCAGGTGGATCTCTGCAACTGGTAGCGTCTTTTCTCATTTTTGTCTTTTCTTCTTGCTCTTGGCAGGAAGTATTGCACCCTTGCATGTAAAAATGTAGAATATAGGGTGGAGGGACTTAGCATCCATAAGGTTAGCAGTGAAACCTTGGCACACAGAGCTAGCTAAGTGTTGGTCTTTGAAATAGATTTACTTCCTTCCTTCCTTTCCTTCCTTTCCTTCCTTTCCTTCCTTTCCTTCCTT